CACACACACACACACACACACACACACACACACACACACACACCTGAAGTGAAGCGTTTCCTCCTGCTCTCTGAAGGCAAAATCGCTGTGTATGAAGCCCAGAGGGGTCTGGGTCTGGTCTTAACTCGTGGGCATGTGGTGTCATTTCTGCCTTGCCACTCGCTCGGTCTGTGGTTGTCCATGTGGAGGGCTCAGACCTTGGAGAGGTTCAAAAGAGCTAAAGCTACAGTATCATTGAATCAGAACAGACAGATGTCTAGGTAGATGAAGCATTACATTAAGTGAATACTGTGGGCCAGGCACGGTGTTAAGCACTGGGGATATAAGTAAAAGCAAGTGAGACAACCACCACCCTCAGTATAGGGCCTATATTTTAATGGGGGAGGGAGTGGTATTCAGGGGGTAGCAGGGTTTGGTTATTAGAGTCAGGTGACCCAGGAGCTGAGTCCAAAGTTGCAACGGGGGGAGATGAGGATGATGGCCAGAATGTAGGCCAACAGTAAAAAAACTTAGGGCATCTATCGATCAATCAACCAGGAAGCATTTATTAAGCACCTACTATGTTGCCATATACTATACTGGGCACCTAGGATACAAAGACAAAAATTACTCAAAAATTGTGTAAACGTATAATTTTCTTTCTTTTTTGTGTGAATTGATTCGATTTAACTCAATGGATTAAATAGGAGCTTTACTTTTTATTTTTCAACTAAACACAGTACATTCTGGCTATCAGTTGAATTTATCTGGTATCATAGACTTGGAAGTCATTAAGTTCAACCCCCTCATTTTATTGATAAGGAAACTGAGACCCAAAAATGTTAAGTGACTTTCCCAAGGTCACACAAGAAATATCAGAGATAGGATTTGAACCCAGGTCCTGTGTCTCCAGAGCCAAGTGCTACTTTAGAGAGGCCCAATAGCCCAAAGATCAGAAGGCTTCAGCAAACAGCCCAGCCACTCTGTCACCCCCAGTCACAGAGCCTAGGTACCTTCCCTTCACCCACAATGCAGGAGAGTAAGGATGCTCTCTTTCAAGATCACCATTTATCACATCCCTGAAATTTCTGCTTCCAAAGCTGACTGGCTCCCTTTCCCCACCCTCCCATATCCACCTCCCTCAATGCCTCCTCCCAATGAGTCCATTTCTCTAGAGCTCAGCCTCCCTCTTCTCATTTCAGATGAACAGGAAACAACAGGTGCCATCATTTACACAGTGGAGTTGAAGAGGTACGGGGGCCCACTGGGTATAACTATCTCAGGGACTGAGGAACCATTTGATCCAATTGTCATCTCAGGATTGACCAAGCGAGGACTGGCAGAGAGGTGAGGTCTGGGCCCCACTCAGGCCCAGAGATCTGGGAGAGCAGGTGATTGAGGGAGGATGCCTACAAAGACATCACTGGGAGGGAGGGGAGGCAGGGGGAGGAGTTGTCTGGGGTGGGGGAAGGGTAACAACAACAATAATAATAAATTCCCAACTATAATTTTAAAACTTTTTCAAATAAAATTTTATTATTGTTTTTTAAATCATCTATATTTTCCAATGCCTGCCCTCCCCAAGATCAATTCATTATGATAAGGAAAAAAAAGGATGAAAATCATACCAATATATTGACAAATTCTGACATTACATGTGATGTTGCACGCTCTTGTGAGGATACAAGGAGAGGTGCCTTCTCATATCTCCTCCTTGGGCCTGAGCTTGGTCGTTATAATTTTGCTGCATTTCATTTCAATTGACTTGCTACATTCTTTCCATTCCTATGGCTGAAGTCATTGTATCTATTGCTTGTGTGGTTCTACTTCCTTCACTTTGCATCATTATGTCGTTACGACTTCTTGTGCTTTTCTGCATTCAGCATATTCGCCATTTTGTACAGCACAGTAATACTCTATTACAGTCATTTACCACAACTTGTTCAAACATCAACAGGCATTTTTATTATTTCCAGGATTTTTTTTTTGCTACTAAAAGGGCTGCTATAAATATTTTGGTGTATTTGTGGATGAAATTTTCTTTTCTGTCACCTCCTCATGGAAGGAAAGAGGGAAATAAGCACTTATTAAGCACCTACTGTGTGCCAGGCACTTTGCTAAGAGCTTTACAAATATTATCCTTTTTGATCCTCACAACAATTCTAGGAAGGTAGGTGCTATTATTAACCCCATTTTATAGTTGAGGAAACTGAGGCAGACAGAGGTTAAGTGACTTACCAGGGTCACACAGCTAGTAGATGTCTGAGGCCAGCTTTGAATTCAGGTCTTCTGACTCCATGCTCAGTACTCTACTCACCATGCCACCTAGCTGCCTAGGGGTATATACCTAGCAGTGGAATCTCAGGGTCAAAGGGTATAGGTATTTACTTCACTTTCTTTTACATGCTCCCATTTATTATTAAGACTTTAGAGTTTCTAGAGCATTTTGTATACATTAATTTATTCAATCACTATAACAGCCCTGTGAGGTAGGTACTATCATTATCAAGCCCATTTTGTAGAAGCAGAAACTGAGGCTCACAGAGATGTAGTGGATTGTCCAGGGTCATACAATTTGTCAAAGGGTACAGGAATTGGGAGTAGGGGCTCAGGTCAGATTGGACCAAGTCATCTCCAAGGTCCTTTTCAACTCTAAAACACACATTGAGATTTTGTGAATCTAAGATCCCAGATTATAATAGCTAGGATTTTATAAATTCAGTCTTCCATCCATGTCACTAAGGGATATGGGCACATCCACCACAAAATGCCCAAATGGCATTCTCTGGCAAAAGGTCCTGTCTTGCCTTGGGTGTTAAAAGCCTCAGACCCAAAAGTAGATGGAACATGGGTGTGTTTTCTTTTGTGAGATGAATTGGCTTATTGGAGAGGACCCTGAACTTTGGCAGCTGGGACTGGTTCTTTTGCAGGCTGCAACAGAGTCTGTTCCATTGGGACATTGTAAGTATCTTAAGCCTATTGATCATAAATAGTCTGAGCTCTCTGCAAAAATGAAGATGTTGGCAAAATATAAAATATGATTACATCCAGCCCCTGGCATGCTGAGTTCATGGAAATGGCCATCAACTGAAAAAAAGCAGCCTTCACTTAGTGAGTGTGGGGCAAAAGCAATGAATGAAAATTTTTCAGTGGATAGATGCTGGGCAAATCAAACTCCTATTTATTTCAAACTCATCCATGTTCCCCCAAATAACTGGTACTCACGAAGGTTCCACCTCAGGATGCCCTCTCTAATCAATGAAGAAAGGTTCTAGAGATTCTTGTTAATAGACAAATTCTCCACTATCTGTCCCCTAAAGAAATACTTTGGATGGTTATGTTCTCTTCAAAATTCTGCGAGTTTTGCCGATTTCATTGTAGGGGCATGGGAGAAATGAAATGATATCAGTTAAGTGTTAATGGCTTTTAATAGCCAGAAGAAACAAGTCTTAGGTTCAAATCCCTATTTCTGATACTTAACCATTTGTAGGAACTTGGACAAATTTTCTAACCCTCTCTGGATCTCAGTTTCTTCCATTTATAAAATGAGGAATCTCATTTAATGATCTTTAGGTCTTTTCTAATAGCTAGCATTTATATGATGTTTCAGTCCATCAGTAAACAATTATATTAGCAAATCAGTCAATCAATAAATATTTAAGTGCCTACTATGGAGCCAGACACTATTCTAAGGACTGGAAATACAAAGAAATACCAATACAATAACATGCAGATGACTGTGTACCAACTAGCTATTTACAAAATAAATTAGATACCACTTCTAAGGCTGTATCCCAAAGAGATAATACAAATGGGAAAAGGACCCACATGTACAAAAATATATATAACAGCTCCTTCTGTGGTGGTAAAGAATTGGAAATTGAGGGGATACCCATCAGTTGGGGAATGGCTGAACAAGTTGTGGTATATGAACGTGATGGAATACTATTGTGCTATAAGAAATGATGAGCAAGCAGACTTCAGGAAAACCTGGAAAGACTTGTATGGACTGATGCTGAGTGAAGTGAGCAGAACCAGGAGAACATTGTACACAGTAACAGCCATGTTGTGTCATAGCTAATTTTGATAGACTTAGCTCTTCTCAGCAGTGCAAGGATCTAAGACATTTCCAAAATTCTCATGATGGAAAATGCTCTCCACATTCAGAGAAAGAACTATGGAGTTTGATTGCAGATCAAAGCATACTATTTGCTCTTTTTTTCCTGCTGTATCATTTTGTTTCTTCTTTCTTGTGGTTCCTCCTACTGGTTCTAAATCTTCTTTACAACATGACTAATGTGAAAATATGTTTAATAGGAATGTATACGTAGAGCCTATATCAGATTGCACGCCATCTTGGGGAGGGAGGTAGAAAGGGAGGAGGAGAAAATTTAACACTCAAAAGCTTATGGAAGTGAATGTTGAAAACTAAAAATAAATTAATTTAAAAAAACTCACAACCAAAAACAAAACAAAACAAAACAAAAACAAAATAAATTAGAAATACTCACCAGTGAGAAGGCAGTAGAATTAAGGAGGGCAGGGAACGCTTCTTGTAGAAAGGTGAAATTTTAGCTGGGACTTGAAGGAAGCCAGAGAAGCCAAAAGATGGAGATGAGGAGAGAGGATATTGCAGGCATGGGGGACATCCAATAAAAATGCCTAATTAAGAAGGGTCTGAGGCGAGATTTGACCTTGTCTTGGAGTCGTGCTGATTCCAAGCCTGTACTTCTCTCCATTGGGCCGTCTACCTGCCCCCAAGCCTATTCATCTTTCTTTTAGCAAAGAGTCTGCTGTTAAGGGAACACAACAGATAATAACTATTCAAGTGTCTGAGATAAGTACTGATTGTGTGTGGACCACAGAGTAGCAGTCTCCTTTTGATATTAATGGAGCAGCCCCAGGAATGGGAGCCACAGATCTTGAGGGTTTGCAGATTGTGTTACATATTTAATTTCTTCCACTGGGATAGCCCATGGTAAGTGTGTAAGAAGTATTGGTTACTTCAAAAGATTTGAGGATGTGTAGACTGTAGAAGATAATATAATGAGTGCATAATATCTCCAAATATTGGGAGGGTAGCCACATGTGACAAGGGATAGATTTGTTCTTTGTAGTTCTCAAGGAAAGAAACCCAAAGAGTTTTGCATGGGGGTTACAGAAAGACAGACCAACTCAACAGAAAGAAGTATTTCTTAAACAGGACTCCAGTCCCACAAAGGAATTAGCTGCCTTTGCAGTGAATGGGTCCCCATCTCTGGAAGTCATAAGATCAAACATCTAGAGCTGGAAGGGATCTCAAAAGCCATCTACTCCTTTTTACAGATGAGGTGATTGAGGCACAGAGAAATGATGTGATTTGCCCAAGGTCACAATGGTATTAAGCATCAGAAGTGGAAGTTAAACCCAGATTTTCTGACTCCAAAATCAGAACTCTTCTTACCAACCCCTATTCAAGCAGATATGGGATACCTCTGCTCCCCTTACGCTGGAGTTTTGGAGAGAAGATTCCTGTATTGACTGGGTGGAATAGATGCCCTTTATGAGTCTATGACTTGGTTATGGTCTATAAATTCCTGAACTTCTGTCACATCTGATCCTTTGAATAATATACTTCTAGATGTCTGTTTTCTTCAGAAGGAGTTAACAACCTACAAAGGGTACTAACCAAAGGAGCAGTCTCCTTCTGAGCAGTGAGCAGGGCTCACCCAGAGGTTCACTGGGAGGTGTATGGTTTTCTGATAATCAGAAGGAGCTTTCCATGGGATCATGGAAAGGACTTCAGACATGGTCTAGTCCAGGGGTGGGGAACCTGTGGCCTCAAGGCCACAAGTGGCCCTCTATGTCCTCAAGTGTAACCCTTTGACTGAGTCCAAACTTTACAAAACAAATCCTCTTAATAAAAAGATTTGTTCTGTAAAACTTGGACTCAGTCAAAAGGTTGCACCCTTCTGAAGTCTAAGGTCTAAGACAAAGCCTCCTTCTGGTTCATGGAGAGAAAGCTGGACCACCAGGGAGAAGAAGCATTGGTCCTTATTTCTGCCAGACATGTTCCTTCTCTCTTTGTAACCAGGGTTTTGTTCTGATCTGGGTTCAGGCAGCCTCAGCTCATTGCTGGCTCCTCTCATTGCTGCCTTTCTTTTTGCTGAGAGAGGACTTTGAATTCCTTATTGAGGATGTATGGTGCAAGTGTTGGATACTGAAGGGAAGTAGCAAGGGGCAGCGAGGGTGAGGAAGGAGGGCATGTGAGAGCAGATCTTTGGAGCACAGTCTACATGGAGGGGTGGCAGGAAATGGAATCCAAGGCCAGGCCAGGCCTGGCAAGTGACTCATGCCTATGTATCCAA